TTTAGCTCCAGCTTGAGGTGGAGTGTTAAAGGGTATTTAGGTCTTTTATGTAATACCTAGGGTTTCCTAAGGTTTTCCTAACTCTTATTATAAATAGTGGGACAGGCTAACACTATTGTTAAGCCTTCTAATTCTTTTACTTTAACAGAAGTATTATGTTTCACGCTACAAATTTATAGATGAAAAATGAATAGTTATAACGGAAGAGTGATGCAACTCTATCAGGACAATCTCACTTTTCTACTACTGCAAGGATATTTTCTTAATTGACAGGTAACATATTTCTTTTTCTTTCTTGTAATTGTAGGAGAGAGTCTTGTAATGTTACAAAGTGAGCTAAAACATCAAAGAAAACTCGTGCGGAGCTTGAAAAAGAAATCTCTTTGGTCTAAACATTTGGAGGAGGTACTTGATTATTTCGCTTGCTTTCATCATAATTGTTCATATTATTTTGAATGTCAGAGATCATCTTTTGAGCATTGCATGTGATATTTTCTTCTATATTTCTAGTAGAAGCAATATATTTTACATCATGATCCTACCTTTACATTCTCAACTTTGACATAGCTACCTTTTTTTGATGTGGATGACAAGATCAAATTATTATCTTTCTTTTGAGTTTTATGGCAAATATTTATGTCTTCTAAAGATGATTGCTATTGAAATTATATAAATTTTCTTAGACTTGCCTATCAGTATTTTATATGGTGATATGAACCATCTTATATTGATTTGGTTTGATATTTTACCATGTGTAGGTTGTGGAGATGCTTGTTGATGTCGTTAGTTTCATTCATCAAGATATTATAGAATCATTTGGAGATAATGGTATGAATTCATGCACAGTATACTTTCTCTTCTCATTAGGTTTCTTTTCTCTTTTATTCAGGATAGAGAGAGTTTGCTGCTTTAGTAATAGCTTTTGTTTATGCCTTGGCTGTGGATGCATGACATATGTGACAGAAACATTGTATATCAGTTTAACGCATATCTTTTCTTTTATTCTCGACATATTTAATATACAATCGGTTTTCACGAGCTCCAAAACTATAATATTTGTAGTCTAATTACATTACTGCTGCATTTAAGACTTCCAAGACTTGCTTTTCCTATAAGTTCCACAATGTTCTACTACCTCATTCTTCGACTCGTCAAAAGCTAATACAAAATTTCTTGCCTGTGAATTTTCCTCTGGCAAAGCTTTCCATTTTGTAATAGAAAATGGATTAGCATTAATTCCCTTGTGATAGCTGATAATTAAGGTTATTGTGGAGAGGTCTTCCCTTATCCTCCCCTATGTGAGATGGGTAGTTTCAATGGGTAGTTTCAGTTCCGGGACTTGAATCCTTCTTATTTTGTTAAAAGGGGGGACACTTCAAGTTTCAGTGGTTGAAATATTTTTAAAGCTATGTCCTTCTATCCCACAAGAATGAGTTTCATTGGCCACAGATTTACTCCAAAGTCGCTACTCAAAATTTTTATACGAGCATGCATTTTGTTTTGAAGACTTTTGTCTACTGGATTAGGAACAATCCATGGTTCTCAGTTGTTTAGAAGAACATACTGTTGTTCTCATCCATCCTTTATTTTAATATCTTGTTTGCGCCGTTTGTCCAACCTATTGCTTGTGTAGCAACTTGCTCCCTAACCTTTGAAGAGAAGCATGTTTGTTCTGGACCTGTCATCACAGTTATGCAATCAATCACTAAAGATGGAAACCATCTAGTTCATGTGGCCCTCGTGAAAACAAGTTTCTGGTCACTAGCCCAAGATGGAAAACAAAACCTAGCTTCATAAAGTTGGACATGAAAGGGACATGACAATTTAACAGAGTTTTAGATGGTTTTAGTGGTTGTGGACTGATTATGCAACTGAATGAGAGGTTGGGCAACTTGTTCTTGTTTAAAGGTTGTGGCCAAGTGATTACGGGGCAATATCAAATAGTTGGCGATAAGTCTGTTTTAGATTCGTATTCTCATACTTTCAGTTTTATCCACTATTTGGCCAGGGTTGACATCTTCCGGCAGGGCATCTACTAACAGACCAGAAAGGCTAGGTGTTGCTGGTCTTTCTTTACATTATGCTAACATAATTACTCAAATTGATAACATTGTAAGTCTTGTACTTCATTTCTTTGGTAGTATGATGCTCATTTGGTGTATTTACCCAACTAAAGTTTATCTTTATGAAATTCATTTTTAGGCATCACGCCCCACCTCTCTTCCTTCTAATATGAGAGAGACATTGTATAATGGGTTGCCACCAACTGTTAAGAATGCTCTTCGCTCCCGATTACAAACCATCGACACCAAGGAAGAGGTATGTTCTTTCTTTCCCCTTCTCAATACAAGATATGTTCTTCAAGCTAGTTTTTCGCAGCATCTTTCTTTCTTTTTTAGTGGGCCCATAGATGGTTTTAATTGGACTAAATGTCCTGTCTTAGTCAATCCCATATGTATTTTCGTTCTGAGTGGGGCTGGTTATGGTAGGAGGGCTTTGTGATTTTATGTTTCTGTTAGGTTTGTTGTGTTCATCCATGCAATCTTTACAACAGTTAAGCTAAGCTTAAAGTTTACACGCAAGTAAATAAGTACATTTCAAAATGAGTAAATCTTTCATTGATCAAAATTAAAAAAAGTTACTTTTTTTTGATAGTAAGATAAGAATTACTTTTCAAAATAAGTAATTTCTTTTTACCCAACTAAAAGTAAGAAAAAAGTAGCTTATCTAACATGTTTGGAAACTAAAAGTTAGCTTTTGCTCATTTTTCAGCTAGCCAAACACGTATTATTTTATCTATTTTATCGATATGTGGGGAGTAGATTTATTTTATTATTATTATTATTGCACCCCTGGAATTGATAATTCGAAGTTTTCTGTTTTCTTTCATACTTGAAGCATTGCATCCTTGTGGTAAAAATGTTTATCCCTTGTCCTTTGTGCATGTTCTCCAAATTTAGCTTCTTTAGATTGTGCCTTTTGCAGCTCACAGTTCCTCAAATCAAAGCCGAGATGGAGAAAACTCTCCAATGGCTAGTTCCATTAGCATTGGATACTACCAAGTACGTAATTTTATATTTGTGAAAAACATACGGCGTCTTGCTTTAAAAACTATACCACCAGCAATTCCTATCCTTTTTGTAATTTTTTGGTGTACCTTTGTTTATCATATCATTTTCGTCGTAACTATATAGTTTACTAACACCACCATCTTTCCTGTGTTGCCCACTGGAAACAGAGCACATCAAGGATTTGGATGGGTTGGAGAGTGGGCAAATTCTGGGTTAGTCAAGAGCTCTCATTTTGTATGTTATCTGCACAAAATATCAGAGCGAGAACTCAATTTTATATGCTCTTAATGGCAGAAACGAGTTTGGCAAGAAAACAGGCCCGCCAAATAACCTGATTCGATTGCAGACATTCTATCATGCCGAAAAGCAGAAGGCTGACTCCTACATCCTCGAGCTAGTGGCATGGCTTCATCGTCTTGTTAGCCTCGTAACTTACAGAGATAATGGACTCAAGGCTCAACCTGTACAATCTCCAACTCTCAGAGGATCAAATACATTGTCATCAAACAACAATGCTGGAATTCATAAAGTCCAGCTCTCTCCGGATGATAAAAATTTGTTGGACAAGGTCACGAAAAGGAAGAACTTGGCCCCCGGACTAAGTAAAAGCCAGGAATTCACGACAGTGCAGAATAGGAAAAATAAGGTATGGGCACTGAGTAGGAGCACTGGGAGCTCTCCCCGTAGAGGACTGGAACACCTGAAAGGTAACGTTTTGGATATATTAGACGGGTTAGATTCTACCTTTTTTGGCTCCTAGATGAGATATCAGATGGAAGTGATCATTCTTTTATTTCATGTTGATTACATATATATGAGAAATCTATGAGCTATGTATATCGTCCTATCTTTGGAGTTGTATTGTATTGCGATAATTAATATATTGAAATATTATACTCCTGACCAAGAATGGGAAAGTTCTCAACATTCGAGTAGTAATTCGATCTCAAAATCCGGCTGATCGAGTGGTAAACAAAATCCTCAGCCATCTCCCTCCATTTAAACATCACCTGCATGCTAGAAAACATCATTAGGAGGCAAATGCCACCGATTGAGAAAATGGTCATATGATTGGAGTACGGTCAAATGAATGGTCGGACGAGAGAATGTGTCAAGAAACGTGAGAGGGAGATTTGGCAAGGGTTAGAATGTTACCTTATGTGTGAAACGAACACACACAGAGAGAGGAGGGGAGGGCCTAATGGATTGAGCTTCAAGTTCAAGACGAGGTTGCTTGATTAAATATGCTTAATTTAATTAAGTAATCGATGTCGAGTCGACATATATGGAACTCTTTTTGTCATACGTATGGTATGTTATTTATAGATATAACAACGGTCCTTTAAGTCAGAGTTGTACATTTATGCACGGGTCATGTAAGTTGTCAATTAGGCAAGTTTTTAGAAATTGCCTTGAAAATATAAGAGGAATATTATCTTTTTACGCGACATATTTCGTACCACATTGGCAAGTAACCTTGGTGGATCAAAAGAATGATTATCAAAAACGAAGTACATGCATCGTTGGTCTATCTATCATTTTCAGAAACCCCACAACAAGAATGGGCTCCAAATTCTTGTCCAATGAACACAAATCCAAGGCTAGCTTACACTTAAAAATTCATTTTATCCTTATCCTTATCCTTTACGTTCCCTCCTCCTCGATTACCCAAAAGGCAACCCCCTTCGTATGCTCAGTTGTTTTATATGCAAATTATAATTTACAAATTTATTTATTAACAGATGAAGTGACAAAATTTGACAGAGTCAAAATTTCACTAGCCAAACAATTTTTTTTTTTTTGGTGTTTTTCCATAAGCCCAACCATTTAAATGATGAATAGATTTTGATAGTTTTAATTCAATTTATCACACCTCATCGATTTGTAAACTAATTTTTAAGTTGTGATATACAACAAGTGTTTTCGCTGTATACTATATTATTTTGAGTAAAAAATACTTTGAAAATAATTAAAATGCTTTAGAGTTTAGTTAATTTTTTAAGTTTCAAAAAAAAAAAAACATTTTTAATTATGTAATAAAAACTTGGTAATTTATTTTACCCTTTTTCATAATTAATATATTTTTATGGAATGAGTTTTCAAGATGAATTTGAAGAGGAATAATTCAAGCAGGGGCGGATCCAGAAAGAAAGTTCAGTGGGGGCGAAACTAAAAAATTAGAAAAAAAATATCTGAAAACCTAAAAAAACCTGAGCAAAAAAACCTAAAAAAATTTGAATATCTGAAGAAAAATCGAAAAATTTTAAAATTGAGTGGGGCAACCCCCACTGGGCCTCATGTATGTCCGCCTCTGAATTCAAGTAGCCTTATATACGTCATGGAAAGAAAATTACTATATTCAGGAAACTATTTAAACAAATTATTGAAAGTAAAATTTTGTAATCGCATTTTTGTAGGGGAAAAACAGTATATAAAAAATAAATTAAGAAAAGAAAGAAAGAAAAGAAAAGAAAAATTGATAGAAGGTAGAAGAAATCTGGAATTTAGTCTAATGCGTCAATATTTCCAAGGAAATGTACTAAATGGAGCTGGCACGACCTCGCGTAACAAATCATCCCTTGCCCCACATGGCCCATCGAGTAGTTGAAAATTTTTATGACCAACTTGGTACATTTTTTTTTATATGGAATAGTTAGAGGAGAAAATTATAAATCAGTTGAAAAAGATGAGATACAAAAGGTCATACGAATACGAGCATAACTTTCAATTCGGGGTGTTGGATTTACGCGAGCGAGTACATGTCGAAAGGGTTTTTAGTTCTCAAGCGTCAAACTTTCGAGGGTCAAATTCCACTGTTTAGGAATATTTTCGTCGTTTTAGAAGTTTCCTAGTTTTATGACGCTTTAAATATGTGTTTAAGGGTTTAAAAACCCTTGAATCGTTTTTTGAATGATAATATTTCAGTTTTCTGTTATCAGGTAGATTTCAGTATTTTTCAATTATGTTCGAGCGAAATTCGATTCGAAAAACATTAATTCATTCATGAATCACGTTTTCGTCTTAGTCTATTTTTGCCACCACCCGTCATTTATGCAGAAAAATCGACATCCAAATTATTAATGACTCAGCAATCTTGTGTTTATCCATTTCACCCCACTATGATCTAACTCTATCACCACTCATTCATAAGAATCAAAATCCTATAAATTCAACTCAAAAATATTGTTTATTTAATCCATATGCACACTCCTAATTGTTCTATTCTATCATGGCTTCTTCAGCATTTTCTCTAACAAATCAAATACTTGGTCCCAAATTCTCTCCTCCATCTCCGCCGCGCCATGTCGGTTTCCGCTGCCAACTTCCCATCTCAGCCACTTCTGCCACCGCAAGTAGCAGCAGCAATGTTTCACAAACGGCGTCGTTGTACGAACTTCTGGGAATTCAAATGGGCGCTTCAGATCAAGAAATTAAGAATGCGTATAGAAGATTGGCCAGAATCTTGCATCCCGACGTTGCATCGCAAGTCGGAGACGATGACACGTCAGCAGCCGACCAGTTTATGAGAGTGCATGCCGCTTATGCAACTCTATCTGATCCTCAGAAGCGTGCGAATTATGACCTAGCACTCTACCGGCGTAGGATGGGATCTCAGTCGCCGTCGGCCAGTGGGTTTACTGGGTACACTGCCCGGAACCGGAATTGGGAAACTGACCAGTGCTGGTAGCTCAATGACACTTTTTGGCTAAGCATTGTTAGGAAGTAAATTAGATTTTGGTGTAAGTAATACGGGGTTAAGAATTTTTGCTCACAGGCCCAATTTAATTAAAAAGTCCAACAAAATCTAAACATTTCCTAGAAAGATCCAAGTAAATATCTAAGTAAAAGATGTGGTTATAAATGTTGTAATGTGTCAAATATATTATGTGATTCTAGAAATTCTATCTATAATATTCTAAAAAAATATTTAGTTCAAATATGTGATCTAAAAGTCTCATGAAAATATGTGGACTAGAAGTCTCTAAGAAAATGTGTGGTTTAGAAGTTTCATGTAAATTCTATATAAAGGGGTATAGTTCCTCTATTTTGTAATAAGTCAAGTCAAGTGTTTAAATTTTAAAGTTGAGAAATATAAGTTACC